ACACTTTACACTTTACACTGATTACTTTACACTGATAGATATCGTTATCGCCTGAAATGAAAAAAACATATCGTGATGTGAAAAAATCTTATATCGCCCAGCTCTAGTGGGGGGTTCAATTTGCCATGTTGTAAGGAGAGCTTAACTTCTGTCTCGCTAGCTTGCCCTGCGCTCAGTGAATCTGCATTCGACTACTCCGCCTAGGCTGCACTGTCGAGCGCAGATCCACTGAGCGCTCAACGCAGACAGCATCGTCAGAAGATAAAGTTGATAAAATAAATTAAAAATTTTGTATTGTTCGATACATATGCGTACCGAACCAAAAGCACTGTATGAACGGTTCAATATCGATACGAGTATCATTGCACCCCTAGTGGTTTCCTGTTGTAATTCTTTTTTAATTTTTTTCCTGACATGTTCTGGAACTAAAATGTCACGACTTGAATAAAATTTGGTTGTCATGAACCGTGGCTGAGTTTCCTGCTGGCAAATTACAAGCTTGCCAGCCATTTAAAGGCAAATTCTTAATGACAGTGTTGAAGTTATTCTTTTTTTTTGACTTAACACTTTCACAAGGACTTCCCAATGCTTTGATTTCATGGAGGTTTGAAAATAGGAATCCATACCGCTTACCAAAATGAAATGGGACTTGAAGTTCAAGATAGATTTGTCCATCCACTTGCTAACATATCTTAAGGGCTCATTGAGAAATGTCTGCAGATAATAAGGATTGTATTTGCTGTGTCAAACTAACTCTAGCTTGCCTGAAAGCTAAACTGGTTAAAAACCACCATTTACGTTGGAATACTTTTTATATTAATGTAAACTAAACAGTTCATTGAATAAATATTTAGGGGTAGTAGTGTCTGAGGAGGTAGAACAGGTCATCTACTAATCAGGGGTTTAGTTGGTCGATGTCTGACTGCTGTAGTCTGCAAGTATTTGGACAAAACCCCGGGTTATTCCTAATATGTTTAATGGAGTGTGAATGTGTGTGAATATTAGACAGTATGCTCAAGTAGAGTGGAAAAGCGCTATATAAAAAACCAGTCTATTTATCATAAATTACATTCTATGGCCAAAATTTAGGAATCGAATGATTAAACCTTCATTGAAGTTGACTAGTTTGTCTTTTCACTACTCCAGTCATTTGTTGTACTTGTTTCTGTGGGCATTTCATATATATTTGATTGCTTTTGTCTTCCTTTGTAGCCGCTGCTGAGTGGATTTTATGGCACTGCTCCTGGATAGGACATTGTTAAGCAACAACATGGACACGTCAAATTTTGCCCACGTCATCTTCCAGAATGTGGGGAAGAGCTACCTGCCCCATGCTGCGTTGGAGTGTCACTATACCCTGACACAGTTCATCAAACCGCATCCAAAGGACTGGGTTGGCATTTTCAAGGTGAATGAGCGGAATAATAAAGCACGATATATAATTATGATCAATGAGGACTATGAATCCATGATGGTGCTAACAGAAGTAGTCCAATGTGTATTTTCATAACTAGACCACTAGAGCACTTTATGTGTGATATAATGGAAAGTAAGAATACTGTCTGATAATTTAATTTGTATTATGAACAGCCTGCAGTTTACATCTAGACTGTCTGTTGTATAAACTATTTTATCTATGGAATAAAAGAGAGATTTCAAGTTTATCCACTTGAAACTTGACAGAGGAAGTGGAGCATTTTAACCTCCACCATGTGCTTGGGTGTCCCATATGGGCCTTGTTATAGAAGTGCATTAAATCCAACCCAGTAGCTTTACATTAGCCTCATCTGCATTGAATCGTGACTTTAGGCTTATTATTAAGACCAGCATGCTTTTTATCTACTGAAGTTGAGATGGAAGCTAAGATTAAATACATCACATTAACGAACCCAGCCTTATGGCTCTTTCTCTCTCAATCTGCTTGTGCTGATTTTGTTAGTTGTCTTCTGAATTAAACAATGGCTAAATAATGAGTTAAAGCTAAATCCACAGCCAAATTAGTTGTAACAGTGTATTTCCTCAGATGTTATAGCTGAAGCATATACGAAGAGACAGAACTGATAAATTATACTTTAACAGTGCCACAGGTGCACACAGTTGCATGTAAAGTTTTAAAACATGTGTTAACAGTGGCTTCCTTTCGTAATAGAAGTATTAAAACCCCCAAATTCTCTTGAAATAATTTGCAAATATAACTGCTTATCTTGTAGTTAAAAAGTATGTTACCTTTCTTTTACAATTTGGACAGGTTATAATGTAACAATATTGTAATGCTGACTACAGTGTCACTCATTAATAGGTAATTGCAGGATTGTTATATAGGATTCAGCTAGACTGTCTGTGACTCATAAACTCATAGATCGTTTACTCGCATTGAGACTGCAAAACGTGTGTTACTTTAGTGGAAAGGAAAAGATGACTGAAGATGAAAACTTCAGTTTTTATATATATTATAGTATAATATATATATATATATATATATATACTTACTTGAAGTTATAGGTTATTTGCAGCATGCACTCATTCTAATGTCATGCTATAGTTCAAGTAATACAGCCCAAGAAATAGGTTCAATTGTTAATTTCTTTGCAATATTGATTCAAGCTCCTAAGTTTACTGTCCTTGTTATGTCAACTATTGATGTGTGCATTTTGCTTTACATGTGATATTATTGTGGGTATATGCAGAGACACTTTCCCTAACCTCACTGATAAATTAGGTCATGCCTTCATATTGAAGTTGGATCGTGTATTATCTGGAGGCTGTTTACATACCAAATTGGGTACTGCATTGTGATACCTCATCACGTTGTGTTTAGCCTGAAGGTAGGCACCAACTGGCAGCATAAATCTTAAAATTACAAATTTCTTGAGCTTCCAAACAATAGAGCGTCAGCAGGAAAGGCTGAGTGCAGGATTTTAAATTGTGTAAATCATTGACACTGTTGACAGACGTAATGCTTGGTGCCAAAGCTCTATCATTTACCTATCCAGACAAATGATAGAGCTTTACACACATTCGCGTGAGCTCCAAAGAGTAGTTATAGCTGCTTTTGGCACAGGCTCGTTCTTCCTTTCAATGTTCCCACTAAATAACTCGGTAACCTGGCTTATTTAAGATTCAGGATTCAAGATTTTTTTATTCGTCACATGCATAGTTATACAAGTATTATATTTATATATTATACAAGGCTTATGATTTATTAAGAGGAAATAGAAAAGCACAGCAACCTTCAAACTAGTTTGGTCAAATTAATACTAATCATATTAATAATTAGATAAAGTAATTAAGGTCTTGATGGTAAATGGATTAAGGAAATGTTTGTTTTAGTACGGGTCCCTGTCTGTTTGATGTTGTTGTTCCATAACTGCAGGTATGGAGCTGGTGCTAGCTGTTTTCGGCTTTATGAAGGAATGTTGAGGCAGGTTGTCAGCATTGGCCCAGGAGAAAGCTAACCCAACGTTATAATTAACCTGTCTGACCACAACCTGTCTGTGTGATTCATGAATAACTCTTGAATTTATATAGGCTAATTGGCAGATAGATGTTACAGTACTTCCTGGGGGAATACTGTCACTCACTTCTGTCAGCATTCTTGCTGAAGTGCTGATGAAAAGTCGTGTTAAAGCTGAAGAGCATGTTGCATAGGTAGACGTTCAGACTTCTTTTAGGTTTTGGAAAGTTTACTCTTACAGTGTTATCTGTGTTGTTGTCTTAGTCACTGATCTGAAACCAGTGTTTTGGTGTTGTTATGGTAGCCTTACACTTTCTCTGCCTTTTGTCTAATATCTATGAGGAAAAAGAGGAATTTACAACATTGCAAAGTCCTCTGTTGTAATTTCCCTACAGAGGTTTCACCCACCACCACCACCTCTGCAGCTCTAATGAGTGGACTGGTGAGGGCTAGCCTTCAGTAATGACACTCACTAACTAGGTGCATGTTTTAATTGCTTCCTGTTTTTTACTGCTGGAGGCTGGAACTGCACTGGGGGTTTTGGAGCACCAGGGCCTTCTATCTCTGGCTCTGATGAACACTCACAGTATTGTGGCTGCAGGCTGTTTGCACACAGGTGAGAAAATAAACTGCCCAGACGTTGCAAAAAGGCTTCCTACATGCAGCTTTCTAGAAACACAGTGTATCTGCAGTGCAATTTGCTTGTATGATTTTTCTTTTCGTTGCCTTTTTTTAAGAGCAGAGTTTTGAAAGTCACACCACAACTTAACCAACTTAGGTGTAATGGTGTAATGGGGTTTAACTGGGCTTGTTGTAGATGCATGCTTGCGCCTGGGAGTGCACACCAAAAACCAGCAAGCTCAATGTGACACTGATTTTGTTTGACAGTTTTATGGCACCGGTCTGAAGTTATGGATGTATTTTCTGCACTTCCCCCTCATCAGTCATCAGTTAACAACACATAAAATACGTATAATTAAATTTTGGTTTTCATTTTCAAGTTGCCTATGTATAAAATTTTCACCTATTTCCACTTTCCTGTTTGAAGTGAGTTGTAGCTACATTTCCACAGCTAGGCTTTTTCATGATAAGGGCCAGACCACATGCACATGGTTAGCAGGAGTGGTTTCCAGATGATAACTTTTGTAAATGAAAAAATATTACAGTAGGCATGTCCTTACACTATCATCCGAAGATAGATTTAAAGCCCTGTGATTACTGCAATAAACTAGTTTGAGATATTTTGGAAGTGACAGCGTGCGGATTTGGGAAAGTTCCCCTGTTAATCCATCCATTGCTGTTATGCTGCACTGATGTGGTGAGGGTGTCTTGTTGAATGAATTCCCCACAATGTCTCACAGGTTGGTTGGAGCACAGCGAGGGACTATTACACATTCTTGTGGTCGCCTCTCCCTGAGAACTATGTGGAAGGCACTGCAGTGAACAGAACAGTGGTCTTTCAGGGTAAGAGCATACATACTTTTCAGTAACTTTGACACCTTTTAATAACTGAATATCATGTGGGTTGGTGAGTGAATTGTTAAGTGTGCAGTTGTGGACAGGATGGATAGAGGAGAAACTTTTCCCAGACATCTCCATTCTGGTGTTAATGACATTTGAGTTAATGTTCTGTTTTTGTCTTTTATACCACCCTTCATAAACCGGCACAATTAAAGTGATTTGCCAGACCAGGACTTAACACTTACGTAGTATTTGTGCTCTTTTTGTGCCTTTTTTTTTTCTCTCAGTTTATTGTAACTTTGGGTTAAGTGTTCAGGTTAAGATTCGCTAATAACTGAGATATGTTTAGACTTGTGGAGGAATATGATTCGTGTTGCTCTGTTGTCTAACATTGAGCTCACTGACTGAGTGATTTACTTCCCCCAGGGTACTATGTTCCCAATGATGATGGCGAGTTCTACCAGTTTTGTTATGTGACCCACAAAGGGGAGATCCGAGGGGCCAGCACACCATTTCAGTTCCGTGCCAGCAGCCCCACAGAGGATGAGCTGCTGACTGTGGAAGATGAATGCAACTCTGACATCCTGGTGGTCACCACGAAAGCTGGCATTCTCGAGGTACAATTTGCCTGAGCAGCAGCGCTCAGTACGCATCGATTTTCATTGGGTTTTATTTTGCTTCAATATCAATTTCTAGCGTGCACAGTTGAAAATTATGATTTCAGTCGTATGTTACCAGTAAATTAAGCTTTTAAAAATACTGAAAAGTGTTTTTGTTTTTTCTTGGCAGCAAAAGGTGGAAGAAGTGCAACGGGAGAAAGATGAGTTGCTTAAAAACATGGCCCTCCTGCAGCAGGAAAAGGAGGAACTGGAGGCTGAGAAAGAGAGCCTGCAGAAGGCGTGTGAGCAAGAGAAGGAGAACTGTGCTCAGCTGAGAAGAGAGAACCAAGTAAGCTGAGAAATGCAGTATTTGTAGCAGTTTTAAAACTTGTAAATAACACAAAATGCCTTTTTCAGGCCATGCTACATATTTTAATAGTCATTAAAATAAGCAGCACATGTGGAAATCAGTGATTTATAGTATTAATGCACTGGCTCTTGCATGGAGCTTTTTACATTTGGCCCAGCAGTCTCTTAGCACCCCCTAGTGAAGGGGTCCTAACATGCAGATGTATCCAAACACATGATGTACTGAAAAAATAAATCACACACTGATGGATATGGATGTCTGTATTATCAAAGTTGTAATTCTGCTTTTTATAGTATAACATTAGGTCTTAAAAGCATTGTCAGTCATAATTCACTTTGCCATTTTCTGCCATAAATCTGCTGGTTTTAAAACGGCTTTCAGATGAAAACATGATTACAGATTTTGTGGCTGTTAATTTTATGACTAGACTTTTATATGATTTTTTTATGGTGTGTGAATATAAAGATTCCAAAATTCTGCCTATAAACAAATTGTAAAATATTCATTTCATTTTTTCTTGAACATTTAAAACTCTCTATCAAGCCATCACGTTCATTTTGAATTAGACTTGTATTTCAAAGACAATAAAATTTTAATGTTTTGCACACATTTTTCCTCAAGCTTTGAGTCAGAGATGGAAAGTTGTATGTTAGGAAGTTAGGTACTGCAAGAAGTGTTGTATTTTTTTTTATGAATTATGAGGCTTTCTTTTTGTTTCAGCTGAACTTTACTTCTGTCTTCTGTCTCACAGGAAGTGCAGCATTCTTCCCAGGCCCTGCTGGAAGAGAAAGAGGAGGTAAAGAGGAGACTGGATGAGGCCACAGCCAGAATCATACAGTTGGAGGAAGATCTGATTGGAGTGACACAGAAAGGCATTCAAAAGGAAACAGAGCTAGACAGGTGAATTCTCAGTAAAAGGATTGTGGCAGCTTCACTAGATTTTCTAGATTTGTTTGTTTAGATGTACAGAGAGTTATTAATGCGAACATATGCACTATTTAGTTATATATTGTTTTTGTTTCTCCAGTCTTAAGGACAGACTTAAGAAACTTACAGCAGAGAAGGAGGTTCTTGAATCTCATCTTAAGAATGAAAAAGATGAGAAGGAACTCTACAAGGTAATGCTCTATTTTTGTTGATATCAATACTAAATCCTCAAACTTACCATTATGATCTTTAAATAAAGATTCAATGTTTTGTTTTTTTGGCACACGATTGCACGGTATTTTATTGTAAACGGGACATGCCTTGTTCCGTTTTCTGGCGCAATTGGTGTTTCTGTGTCTTTGTTGTGGTATGTACTGCACAGGAACTGGGAGTGCCACATACTGTTGTGCTCCCACAGAAAACCTCTACCTAATTTAACTTGCACCATCACACTGCGTCTGTTTCAAAAGGACGACTTTATGGGCCTATCTCAATCTCTGTTTTGTAATTGAGGTCATGCAACATTTATTTTAATATGGTCTTTGATTGTGATCGGTGTTGTATAAATGAGGTAAAAAACCCCACTCTGTTTGTGTTTTATAACTTCTCGTGTGTGTGTGTGTGTGTGTGTGTGCGCGCGCGCGCGCCAGATTCACCTGAAAAACCGGGAGCTGGAGAACACTAAGTTGAGTGCGGAGCTGCAGATGTTGAAGTCTGTGGACGTAAACAAGGAAAACGCCATTGCCCAGTTTAAAGAGGAGGTGGGGCGCCTCCAGGCTTGCCTCACTGAGAAGGACAAACAGTACAAAGAGATCCTGGCCAAAGTTTCCACCTTGGTAAGAAAAAAAAAGATTTTTGTTTTGAGGTCAGAAGTAGATAATAAACCGTATTTAATATAATTCATTATTATATCATATGAAATTTAAAGATTTCCAGTAGAAAGAATAGGAAGAGGAGAACTGAGATGTAATAACTGATCTTTAAAGAGAAATGAGAGTCAGTCGCCTTAAACGTGTTTACTTCTTGCAGGGAGATGTGAAAGCCCTGAAGGAGCAGCTGCGGCAGAAGGAAGAACAGCTCCAGGCTAACCAGCAGCAGTCCTCTTTGCTGGCTGCCGAGCTGAGAGATGCCTCCAGTGCACGCGATCGTACAATGTCTGAACTGTACCGCATTAAACTTGAGGCTGACAACCTCCGCCAAGCCAAGGCTGAAACTCAGGCCCAGTGCGTCCGCCTGGAATGCCTGGTGGAGCAGATGAAGGCAGAGGCCACGCAGGAAGCAGTAAGAGTGAAACTCAAATAGCCAGACAGCCTTTCGTGTTTAAAAGAGCTTCATTTGAAGTTAAGCGTATTTAATATCATGGTAAACAGGCAGATCAAGAACAAGGATTAATGTCTGGTAACATCTAAAATAACACATTAAATAATAAATATGCAAAAGTTCAACATTTTTCAAAATTATACATCAACTTTCATCAAAAGTTGATGTAAGAGGGTGAAGACTTTGTCATATATTTAGATCACAATAGCGTTTAATATTTTGTCACCATAAAGAAATAAAAGATAATAAATCATATCGTATATATTTGTCCAGCTGTGTATAGGTACGCTGTTTGGTTGAGCACTGTGTGAGAAAGTTAACGGTATGAAAATAATGGAAACAGAAAACGTTTCTCCCACACAGTTTTTTTTTTTTTTGTTTGTTTGTTTTGTTTTGGGGGTTTTTAAACTGCTTCTGCATTTGAAAGATGCTGTAATTCTTCTCATACTTGCTGTTTTTATTGACCACCAGTCTCATGCTAAAGAATCACTTTAATATAAACAGTGATAGTGATTATAGTTAATGACTCACAGGAAGTTATATCACTGCACTGTCACAGTGGACCTTGCAGTTGGCCGGAGTTCTGATCTGTTCTGCTGTAATGTTTTACATGAACAGGCCAAAGCAGAGGACGAAGCTGCTGCAGACCCAGCTGTTGTAGCAGAGCTGCAGAGAGAGGTGGAGGATCTAAAGCTGCGGCTGCACATGGCTGCAGAACACTACAAGGAAAAATATAAGGAATGTCAGCGACTGCAAAAACAAGTGCTGAAACTCTCTGAACAGCAAGGGGTAGGTTCCCACGGATACCAGCCAACATACTGTATTCATGTCCCAACAAGTGAAAGAACAGAATTTCCATTTGTATCTTTGTAACACTACGCCTGCCTCACTTGTACTAGTTAATGCCTTCAGTCATTTTGCCAGTCTTGACTGGAAAGAAGTGCAAGCTGAAAATGCAAATTAACACATCAGACAAATTCATTTTCATTATCATTCAGTCTGACTGTATAAAATAAAGTTTATTTAAATTTCACTGTAGACACATCAAAAATGGAAACTGGAAAATTCAATCTTGGTATAATTGTTCCCAGTTTTTATCTTTTGATATTTTGGATTTTTACAAATTCTTATAAGTAAAAGTAGCTCAAGCCTGTGTTAATCCTTTCATATATATATATATATATATATATATATAAAAACACACAACACAATATTTTATACAGATAAGATGTATTTTCATCTTTAAATGTCATTGTAATATACATTGTAAATATGTTTGTGAATTGTTTTTTTTCTGCATTTGTTGTTGTTATTATGTCTTCACTACATTTTTCTCGTCTTTAGGAGCTGAAGAGAAGCTCTGCCCAAGAAATGATGGCAGTTCTTCCATCGGGGAGTCCAGACACTTCTGTGCCAGGTACCCAAGTCAAATTATGAAGTGAAAAATTATCTTTAGAAAACAAAATCTTGAGGAGTTGTGTAGTTCCTTAGACACTATCTTCTCTTTCTCATTAGCTTTATTTTGAACTCTTGGTTTCTCTAAATTATGTTCCTTAGCAGTTTGGTGATACGTATGTAAATTTTTTATTTTGCAGACGTTTTTTTTTTTTTGTTGAAGAATAATAAACTAATAAAAACATAACTCTATAGGAAGTCCAGGTTCTGCTGATCCAATGTTGGAAGCCATCATCCAGGAGAAGCTGAAAGGCATCAGCAGAGAGGCGTCGGACAGGAACGACAAATACAGAAAATGCAAGCAGATGCTGATGGTAAGAAACATTTTTTTTTGTTTATTTTGTTGCTGTATTTTGTCCCAAAATAAGATGTTCAAACGTGTGAGAGACTTTTGTAGTTCAATGGTATGAATAAAAGAAACATTGCTCGCTGAAGTACGTGGAAAAATCTCAGCTGGTGCAGACCAATCTTTTATTTACTTTGACTGTTTATAGGTCCTGCACCTCTGATACCTTGTGAGCAGTGTTTTTGTCATTTATTTTTCTCCTCTGTGTATATTGTGGTGTGATGAAAACTGAATCATGTGTTGCCCTTTAGGAGGAGAAGGAGCGTAGCTGCATGTTTGCTGATGAGCTGGCCAAGATGGAAGTGAAATTTAAAGAGCAACTGAAGACCAACGAGAACCTGAAGCTGCAGCTGGCAGCAGAGGAAGATCGTTATAAGGTTAGTGTAGGCAGAGTGCAGACACTTAGCACAGCCCAAGCTGTCAGCTGCCAGTGATGCTCTCCTTCAAAGCAGACCTGATTTGGACTCTTCTGTGTTTTTACCGCTGTGTATGGCTGGTATAGCTCAAGGATCTAGCCTTTGATGCTATCTCTTCCCTTGAACACAGTTTCTCTGACAGTGTTGTTTATGAGCGGGACGATCTGTGAGACGACATTTTACTGCTGTTTATGTCAGGCTCTGGAGACAAGCAAGTCTTGGCTCACAGGACTCATCTCTGGTTGCTTGGCTAATGCTGTGCTTGGCTCAGGTCAGGCGGATATTTGCTTAGTGTCTCACAGGGATTCAAGCAGGTTGTTTTGCTCTGAGCAGTATTGTGCATAAATCAGTCCTCAGCAAAGAGAAGCCTTTTATGGCTGTGATCAATTAACGTCACGCACTATGGTCTGACTGTATTTCACTTACACATTTTTTAATCAGCAACACATCAAGAGTTTAAGTATATAAAGTGTTTCTTCATTCTTCTGCTTTTGTGCCCTTTACTTTCTACAGAGCCAGGTAGCTGAGAAGGGACGGGAGCTAAAGGAGCTTAAGGACACACTTGTGGTTGTTATGAAGGAGAAGGAAAAACTGGAGGGGGTTAGTGACAGCTTTCATTTTCTCTTTTATAGACTCCTTCCATTTTAAAAATTGCCTGAAATGTGCCATTCCCCTGCCATTTTCCCCTCTCCCAATCTGGTCTGTGTTTAATATGCCTCTAATTGTAGATGCAGAGTAAATGACTTCTTATTTTCCATTCCATTACTTTAGGCCACAGCAAGGTCCTCACTGACCTAAAATGTTGCTTTGAGGTAATGCTGCTAAAGTTAAGAGGAGGAGAATGACTCAATTTGAGGTTTAGACTGTAAATTAACTTGGCGTCTCTTACTGACATAAAAACACAGAATCCTGTTCCCTTTGAAAGTGAGAAAATTCTTTTTAATGAAGGTGTTAATTAAACTGCTTTTGTGAGCACAACAAAAAGCCCCCTCCCCCCCAAAAAAGTCACAGCTCTGTGTTGGGATGGTGCGGCTTTGCCTTTTTAGCTGGAGAGCCACACTGAGATAGAATCAGATATGGGGCCGCGATGCCCTAAAGGTTAGAAAAGCAGCTTCTCTGTCTGGAAGGCTGCGGGTTTCATGACGAGACCAGCAGGATAGAATCTGAGTGGAACAAGTGAAAAAGCAGTGCGTTAGGCTCCAGTGGAGCTGCTCCATGGTCAGCAGCAGGTTAGTGTGTGGTTGTACTGGGCTGTGAATGCAATCAGTTTTTTTTCTGGAAATTAAGATTATATCTTAAAGACATGTTAAAACAAAGTGTCCTCACTATATGCACATGATGGGACTGAATTTTGTCAGTGGTTTTTGCTGTTGTGAAGAAATTGTTTCAATTCCCCTTTTGCGTCAGGAGCTCCAGAAGGGCAGCAGCAGGAAGGGAGATCAGGGGACCAGTGAGAAAACCAGTCTGGAGAACCTCCAGTCCAGTGTGCCTTTATTCCTGCAGTACCCTGTCCCGTATGCACAGGATACCCCTACCCCTCTGTTGGTTTCTCAGAGCCCCAGCAAGCTGCATTTTGGGAACCCTTACTCCATCTCGGACTCAAAAGGTTTGTTTTCTTTTCAGAAGTCTTCACTAAACATTGCAGAGATGAGTGACTTTTTATTTACAGTAGCCGTGTCTCTGAAAATCCTCCTGCAGATGATGCGGATGAGTTCTCAGATGACCAGCCACTTAGGCTGCCCCCTGTAGGCCCGCCATCCTGGGACAGCAATGTGGTGTGTATCCAGCCTACCCGCAACCACAGCCGGCCAGAAGGCCATGAGGAGTCAGAGGAAAAGCAAAACAATAATGTAATATTCTCTCTCCCATGTGCAGTATGCAGTACTTCTAATTTGTATCATGTGTTTGATTATTTTAATGCCATTTTGCGTCTCCCCCTGTCTCTGCTGCTCTCTCAGGGTAATACCAGCGAACAGCCCACAGTAACTGAAACTCACAGCACATTTGTGAATGATGGACAAAATGCCTTCTGCTTTGATCCCAGGTAACACACCTTGATAATAACCAAACTCTCCAAGTGTGTTAAACTTGTGTATTGACGTGTGTAAAAACGTCTGC